CACTAAGCTGCCGTAGGCAGCCGAGTGAATAACCGACCCGAAGTGAAGTGAGCTGAGCTATTCACTTCAGGCTTGCACGGCTGGCTAAAATCAGCCATACATTGGCTTGCTGCGGTTGGCTTCATGTCGGCCAAACATGCTCATCATGTTCGGCCGACCCGAAGTGCAAAAGGAGTTTGACTCAGCCGATCCAACATCTGGATCGGCTGAGCCGAGCCTCCGGCAGGCTACCCGCCGCTGTTCGGCCTATTCTCATAGATGCTGAACAGCAGTGAACGAATAGCTGAATGCCTGGTACCTCTGTGGTACCGAGCAGAATAGAAAAACAGTTACAAAAGTAGAAAAAATAAAATAGTAAATGATTGGGCGGAGCTAGCAGTGACAGCTAGCTCCGCCCAACTGTTTTCTATTAGCCGGGCGGTTCTGCTGCCATCAGAATAAAAAAAAAAAGCCAGCATAGGAATGCATGGCTAGATTCCTATTGGCTATTACACTTTGCAATAGCAAACTAGCTATGGCAAGCAAGCAAAAGTAGGGAATGGAGGGTTTCTAGAGAGATAGAAAGGCAATGATCATATGTATATATATAACACATATCAAAAGTTTATTGTACATAAAACTAATAGTTAAAAATGAATCCAGTACATGGAAACTGTATTGCTATCCAAGAGTTATTTGGGTTTGCATATGCTCAGCGAACGCATTTTCAGTCCATACATGTAGATTTGTGCAATCAGGATAGTGGAGCTATCCTTCATATAGTGTCCAAATAATTGTCTAGCTCCCTACTTTTGCTTGCTTGACTTATTTGAGGGGGAGAGGTTTGGGCAGGGAGCCCTTTTTTGAGGCAATCCACCAGTCTTTTTTTTTTCTATGCTAACGTTTAGGTGTAAATGCGTCCTCAAGAAACAGTTCATGGATATTAGCCTCCTATCACACTAGCTGCGCATATGAGCACATGGTATGTTATGCCACACGTCAGCATAGGGCAGCTCATTAATTTCAAAGTGCTGCCCTACACGTGACAAAGAAGCTCATGCAGCAGTTTGAACTGTGGGTTTCACGTGTTTTTTTGAATGCACTTTTTGTTTGCATCCACACGAACCCTTCTTGACGCGTTTGGATTGCCGTTACAAAATAATGGCACCGCAAGCACGATAGAAGCTTTCCGTGATATGCACACATTCATGTGCGCAGCTAGAGTGAATGGAAGCTAAAAGAGTTCAAGGTCACAAACATATTCAGACAATAGATAAATTATAAATAAAATATTTGAACCACTTTCCAGCCTAAAATAGATACATACAGTTTATGTATATAAAAATGTGCAATAACTGAACTGAGTTGTACAATTATGGAAACTTTCACATGAAAACATTTTTATCTTATATTCACAGCTCTATTTTTTAATGTGGTAGAGTTGCAGTGCATTTTAGAAGCATTTTTTTTTTAAACCTATTATCCCCATGGAATTAGTTCTGTTCCTGAGCATTAAACTGCATAATCAGCAAGTAGGATTATTTTAAACACTATACTAAAACACAGAGGTGTGAACGGAGCCTAAATATTGGCACATGTCCTTAATAGAAGGTAAAGAAAAACCAGGTTTTCCATCTGTGCATGTATATTGCTAGGCTACAATCAATTCATTTAACCTGATATACAAAAATATATAAAAGTCCCTTAAGACCAAATTTAGTTGTTTACAATAACAAGGGTGTTATGGGAAAAAAAATCTTTGCGGAGACACCTGCTTCAGTAATTACAAGGCAAATTTTTCTCCTCTGTAGCTGTATTGTTGTACTATACAGAGCTTTTACACGATTTATACTATTATAGTTATTAATAAATAATAATATTTATAGCATTTACACTCTTTCCCCCATTATATTTTCATATTAAAGTTCATCTAAAGCCTCTATTTTTTTCCTCCCTGGGTGATATACCAACATTTTTAAGGCAAATTAGTATGTTAAATGTATATTTTTTTAATGGTAAATGCATCTGGAGATTTGGATTTCTCCTGCATCTCGCTAGGCAGTCCAGGAGGAGACAAGAGGGACTGAGCAGGGCAACTACATAATTTTCCTAAGCTAGACTCCCAGGGGTGGACAAATTAATCTGGAATATGAAGCCAGTCTGTCCAATCCAGGAGCCAGCAGGATTTGTTTTTTGTCAATGCCAGCTCCATTGACAACAACTAGCGAAAACCTCAAAAGTTGGATGCCAGGTGGAACTTGTAAGGAGCATTAACTGATGTAAAGAGCTATGGCGGTTGTAGGTGGATATAATACAGCCAATAGGAAGTACTCATGTTGGGCAGGCACTGACTTGAAGAAGGATCCTTCCTTCTGAACACAGAGGAAAGGAGACGCAGGGCCAAGACATTACTGGACCATGGATTTAGGTGAGAAAAATGGACATCTAGGCAATTAGTGTTTCTATGCCAGCGATTACGCACAAGGTAGGTGGAGGGAAGGGTGTGTGGGGCAGTAGGCAGGCTGGAAAGTAGCTTTAATTTGTTTTGTTTTTATATCGGCCTAGAGTTCAGCTTTAAAGGCTCGTTCACACATGCCTGCACACTTAAAACACTCTGGCTATGGGGGCTGTGCAGCATGTCTGCATTTTTCCACACTGCACATGACACCACTGTTGAGGTGTGAACTGGGCAGAACTGTTTTCTGTGTGGAAAAATGCCCGTCAGCAACCCCTCCCCAGGATCCTAAGCCTAGAGTGTACATGAGCCCCTGCACTGAGAGTATCAAAACCTTGGTGAGAGGTAGAGCTATTGATATTTGGCAGTTGAATGAGTGTTAGCAGGCCCTAGTTACTGGAAGGGGCTTAACTTCCATCAATAGGAGGATACATTGAAATATTTGGCC